TAACTGCTTATTTTTGAACCCATAGGTTGTAAATCAAGAAGTATTTAATAAATTACAATGTAAAACAAGAAAAAAAGTCTGTAACTATGTGAATAACTGAAATTTAAAGAAGTTATTCCCTTTTATCTTTCAATCATCAAAATGCAAGAAATAATTTACCTTTTTTCCATTACATGAAGATGTACTTTGTACTGCTGGTCCAGTAATGAAATAAGCTTTCTAAACTACTAAATTCACTATTCCCAGATTTTTCTTGCTGTTGCCTTGGTTAGATCATTGCTAGGGTCAAGTAACCGCAGCTGTGAACCTGAGTTCTTGGTCAACGTGAGTTAACTGGCCTGGCACGAGACCAAACTACAACCTCAGAGGAGGAACACCACACTCTGATAGCCTACTTAGCAGAGCTGGGCTGACAGCTGTTACTCCAGGAGCAGGCCAGCCCCAGAGCATCACAGCTCCAGTTGGCTGGCCTGCAACAAAATCCAAGTTTTTCTAGAGTGGGGCCCAGATAGCAATTGTCGAGACTTCAGTGTCAACCTTCCTGACCTTACAAAGCTTACCACCTGAGTATATCACTGGATATTATTTCTAACCAAGATGAAACTTAGTTTTACCACTTTAATCAGCCCTTATTCCCACCCAAGGAAAATCAAAATCCTTGCACATTGGAGATGCCCAGTAAATACTAGATTAATCGAAGAGGGAAAGCCCTGTATTAGTGACCAAAAACAGACATAATTTTCTTCATTATCATCAGCAAACACTTCTGGAGCTCCTACAAGGTACAAAGGATAACAAAAGGGGTCAATCATGGGTCCTAATCATATGGAGTTGACAGCCAGGAATGACACTGTGAAGCATGCAGGAACATTTGAACACTCCCAGCCATGAAAACACCTTTCCCCTTTTAGTGTGGGCTTCTCTGGTTGCCTACTTGTAACAGTACATGCATTTTTTTTTTTTTTTGCTCTATAGAAGGCAGCCAAGAAGAAAAAAAAGAGGAAGAAAGGAAGGATAGACAGATAGGATAGATCCCAACGTCTGGCATGTCTAGCTAACACCAGAAAAATCCAAAATGTATAAAAAAAATGAGAATTCTTTTCTGAATGCTGAATCAAAACTTCTGTAGTAGTCACTGAATCTTAACAGGCACCATTTGGTTCACTACGAAACAGCCTCCCCCTTCACATATGTTCGATGACCCGTGTGGTCCAGCTCCTACCCCCACAGAACTGACAGATATTTTGTACTTCACCACATGCTTATGTTCCATTCATAACATTAAATAAAACTTTAAGCATAAATTATTGGAAATACAGCACAACTTAAGGCGAAAGTAAACTGCACTGGTACTATCAATATATATGTAATTTTATGTGAATAACACACATTTCAATTCTAAGTAACATAACGTAGAAAATAAACTTCCTAATGTGCTTACTTTCTTATTTAACACTATCATAAGAAACTGAATTAAAAAAAAAAGACCTATAACCTACCTTCCTTAAATTACACTTCACCTCTTCTACTGCCCGAAATCTTTGGGTAGTATACATGAGAGATTACATGTGCTGCTTCGTTTTCTGCCACTTAAAGTACTGTTTTCTCTAATTCCTCCACTAAAGTGTCTTTCTGGATGATAACCCAACTTTTGTCAGAGGTACAAATGAGCTGGGAGGTTTGAGGGAATATTCCCGGAAATAGGGAGGTCACCCACAACATGAGGCTTCCAGGCCCTGAAAGTGGACTGCAGTACTGAGGCTTGGACCCTGACCCCACCTGCCCCACAGACCAGGCACTCTTAATCACATAATTCTGAGTTACTTTTTGTTTGGTAAGCATTTATCACTATCCTAAAGGACCTTATTTATTTGTTTATTGTCTGATCCCCCATAAGAATATAATCTCCAGAAAGCAGGGCTTTTATCTGTCTTGTTGATTCAACCCCAGCTTCCAGATAAATACCTGGCTTGTATAAAACACTCGATAAATATGTACTAAATAAATTATAACCTCTTACAATACTCTAAAGAACTGCATTATCACTCAGATCAATAAACCAACTAGTAAAATCTTGGGATCCTTATTTTTTAACCATTATAAAGAAAAAGCAAGAGGAAAAATATACCTACTCATCAACTCTTGCTAAATTAGATATGAAAAAAATGGATAGCGGAGTGAAGGTTTTTAAGAGAAATAAATACAACTTCAGATGACTTATGAAAACAGAAGTTCTCGTTCCTTAATATACTGAATTGCTGCTCAACTTACAGAATGAGGATGCCTGACTCCTTTACCTACAACCCTTCAGCCAATATCTCAGTTCTGCATTCTGAACTGACACACTCAGGAAAGGGTACTTTTGGTGAAGAGTGGGATGCTTTTTACAAAAAGGCAAGCAGATCATATAACAAGCAAATGCAAAACCCAGGAGGTAACGATGCTTCCAACAAATATTCTTGGGAAGTGAGCCACTGCCACTTCTCTTACCCCAAAGTGCTTGGTCAATTTCAGTTTAATGACAGTATCAGTCAGTCAAGCAGTGCCAATCTACGACAGAATCAAGTTTCATTTAAAGGGTTATAGGATAGAAGCTGGGAGGCAGATAAAGTAGTGGTTTAACACTAAGGAAGCGTACATTTAAAATACTGTTATTTCCCATATCCCCATCCCTCACTGATGATAGCCTCCTTTTGTTACAACTACAGTGATTTCGGGCATCTACTTTCTAAATCACAGGAACTGCGATATTCATCAACATGGTGGAAGACGGGACAGTGTGGTAGAAAGTGTACACAGGCTTGGGCACGGTGACCGGCTGGGTGACCTAAGCCAAGTTGGCCCCTCTGAGCCAAGTTCCTCGTCGTCAAGGGGCATAAAGTTGCCTCTCACAGAGAAAGGTTACCAGAACCCCACGTAATGACCAGCACAGGGCGCAGCGCCTGCGTACAGTGCACGCCGTGCTCCCCTTTCTCCCACCCGCCAACTGCAGAGCAACATCGAAGGTCTGGAAAGATTAGTCAGCTACCGAGGCTGTGGCTGAAGACCGCTGCCGAGCAACTACATCGCCTACTAAAGCGCATCTCGGCAAACCCCACGGAGTCGGAGCCCGCTCCCCGCGGGGGCCGAGGGGACGCGAGCGTCTCCCCGCCCGGTCCGCCAACCCCAGCCGGGTTTGTGTCCGGGGTCCAGGG